TCAAAGATGGAAGAGCAGCTTGCACTCTCACGTATTTTGAGACACCAGCGGGTTTGGCAGGGAGCCCAGTCCCTGGTGGCAGGAAGATCTTCCGTTCCTCAGCGGGGGTCAGATGGGAGCTGGGGAAAATGGGCAGTTGGGTTTTTCCATACATCCCTGGGCCAGTCGCCGAGCCCGTCACTCAGGCTTTGCTTTTCGCATCAGCCGAAGAGGGTTTGTGTGAGCTGCCGTTGAAGGAACCGGTCCCAGCTGCGTGTCTCCTGCCCGCCTCCCTTGGCTGTGCCACCGCTGCTCTTGGCACGGGTGGAAAGCTGGGCTGGGGAGGCAGTCGGGCAGAAAACCTTCCTGCAAAAAAAGGGGATGAAGGAGAGGATAGGACTGCTCCTTTCAGTCTGTGCTTAAGTTTTGTTAAGCTGGACTGGAGCCTGAGTCCCGGGGAAGATGGAGGAGCTGGAGCCCCCGCAAGAGCGCTGGGTTACGCCCGCGTTGATGGAAATAGGAACCCAGAGATGCAAACCCAAAGTGAAGGAGTGAACCTGCAGCACATCCACTGTTCTTCAATAAATATCCATCTGTGTATGCTTTACCTCCCATTAATTGCAAGGTAAGTTATCATTCTTTCAGTGCGATTACCCTGGCGTACCATACCTGAATGACCTCACCTTGAGCGTGTGTAGTTCTGCCGTAACGGCGGTGAATTGTTACCCTGCAACGCATCGGAGCCTCTCTGCTTTGAGTCACTTCCACACTTTGAAGCTTTAACCGTTATGTCATGCTGTAAACGAATCCTTTCCCTAACCCGCGGTCTTTTGAGCGGTTTTATCTGTTTGTGTCTGACATCCCAGCCCTATGAAAAAGCACCGAACATTGGTCGTCCTTCTGCTGCTCTATAGCTTGGGTCGTTTCAAACACTTCCCTGGCAGCTGCAAGGCTGATACGAAGCGGTAAAACTTCCACTGTGGATTATCAGGAGCACTACTGAGGCATTGCTTAATGCATCTGATATCTAAGCCTGGATAACAGAAGCCATACAGCTGAGGGGAAAAAAAAAAAATAAAAAAAAAGATTGACAGCTATTGCAGGAATTCAAATAGGGGCACCTTGATAAAGAGTCGGGGGAACGCGTTTACTTCCATTACGGAGCCCAGGGCTGAGATGGATTCTTTCTCCGTCATTGTCCTAAGCACATTATCCCTGAAAGAAAGAGGGTTTCTCTGAATCTGCAATTTTTGTAGGCTCCAGTGTTATTGAAATGAAACCGCTTCAAGGATATCTACATTCTTTCCCATCATATGGATTCTCATCTCATGTAAATTATTTGGCCGCTTCTCATTTTAATCCTCCACTGTCATTTTCTACAAAAGAGATCATTTGGTTTCTTCATTGAAGGTATTCAGCTGACAGCTGCCCTTTGTCTAGAAAGCAGTGTGCCTTTGCAGCATTTACTTGTGCCTGCTCTTTTTCTTTTTTTTCCTTTTAACTTCATATTGCTTCGTATTTTTCATCTGTCGTTTTCAGGAACTTTTCAGATTGTGAGCAGGGCTGTGGTTTGTAGCTGTGAAGAGAAATTCAGGCATCCCACGTTCTTTCCCTGTGCCTTCGCCAGGATATACCTAGCTGATAAGAAACAGAACTGGAGGCGGATTAATTAATTTCCTGCCTGCAAGAAGACCTGTAGCCAAAAAATTCAGTTGAAAATTGTTGTGAAAATTCAGTTGTGAAAAGAACTTCTACATGAGCAAACCAAAGCAGTCAGTGATGAAGTCTTGAATTTCTTTCCATGGCTTCCCTATCTTGAAAACTTAGTTATTCCCACCTGCTTTCCAGAAATGTTGGGAGGCTTTAAATGTTGGGCTTTGTGTCGTATCACCCACAAGTCCCATTAAGACCCTGTAATGATGGGAACAAAATGTGATGTATTGGTAGAGTGTGTATACGGAGAACTTGGACGCTGAGGCTGAAAATCAGCTCTTACACCTGAGGTTGGGTGGTTTTGGTTACCTGTAGCTATGAGACCTTTTCCCTTTAAGACTGAAAACTAAATCTGATCTCTTCTCTGGTAAAACCAGCTTGCGCTCTGTCAAAGGTTAAAAGCCCAGTATGGTGATGGGGAAGGATATTATCAGAAGTTGAGGAGAAGATAGAGCTTTGGGGAGCAGGATTTGAGAGCTGGACAAGTTTGTAGGCACCGTGAACATGTGGGGGAAGGAGGAGGCATGTCGTTAATGTGGCTAAAGAAGAAGCCAGCAGGTGGAAGGAGAGGCAGGTTCTATAATTACTGTTTCAACTACAGAAAGTGAGTTTAACTGCTCCAGTAGTGTCCTTCCAGCTCCCCTCTGGTACCTTTGTGATCTCCATGGAAATGTCTTATTTACTAGGAGAGCTGCCTGAAAACTTGTCAGATTTTTGGTGTTTTTTCATAAATCAGGGTTTCAGGATGAAAAGAATTTCAAATGTTCAAGTGAGTGGCTTGTCTCACTTTCTTGCGTCAATCTAAGAGTGAGAAGTTCAAGTATACACCGTTCCTTAATTTTACATCTTTTGTCATTCCTTCCATAAAGATAGGCAGTGTCTAGTCTTTTTGTGACCATAGATGATCTAGATCTGTAATCTCTCATGATGTCAGGGTTTCACCTTCTGGTTTTAGTGGTTTTCTTTCCTTGGTGTTTGTTCTTGACTTTCGATAAATATCTATAAACAAAATGATATTCAGCAAAGGGAGTCTGTAAAATAGCTGTTAGAGCGATGGGAATTTGCTGAGTTATTTTTGTACACATCGCCATGACCTGGTCCTGATTAGGACTCCAGGTCATGTAATACATTCGTGTAAGTAATAGTCCAGCAGTTTTCAGCTGTGATGTCTTGACGTTCCTTTATCTCATGGCACTTAAAAGAGGAAATAGTTCTTGGCTCTGGGCAGAGAGTAGAGCACTCTGGTTTGTAGGTGGGAGAGCTGACACACCGTCATGAGGCAGCTGGACTGGGATCTCGAGCTTATGCTTCCTTCACTAACAACTAGAAAAAGCATTTTCTGGTCTGCTTTCTGAGCTCTCCATTCTCCGAAAAAGTTTGTACAGAACACAGCCCCTTTGAACGGAAATTTGCAAGGTAGACACACATACCACTTCAAAGGCTATAATAATGGAAAGGATAGATATCTGGAAGAGGAAAGAATATGCTTCAAAAAATATCATGCCCAGAGACTGAGTGTATTGCGGGGAGGGGGAGAAAAAGAAAGAAAATCTCTTGGTAATAATTCAGGGAGCGTTCCTGCTGGTGGCAGCGCCAGTGTTGACAGTGCTACGTACTTGAAGCTTCCTAGAAAGTAAGTGTAGCCAGGTGTCCTCCTCTTCAGATCGAACGTCAGAATCTCAGGTATATTTTTCAGAGCAGAATCAAGCATAGTGGGAATTGCAGTTATGGTTGGTCTCTGCAGATTTACTTCATAAGAACAACTCAGCGGTCCAGGGAAGTAGTATTGGATGTTTTCGTGTAAATGTGGTTGCCTCCAAAGCCCACGTCGGTAGTATAGATGTAGTCTGCCCTTCATTTGGTGAAGACGGAGCGATTTCTGTGGTTTCATTTGCTCTCGAAGCTAGGAAATCAAGTGGAAGTACCTTAACAGTGCAACTAGCTGTGCTAATGTTTGATTTATCTTAGTTAATGAGTAGCAGCTTTGAAGTAGATCTTCATTTGTGGGCAAAGCTGCAACTGTAAATAACACCGGGAGCAATGGGTGGAAGAAGTAATACCTAAAATTGAAACTGAATGTTCAACATTTGTATTTACAGTGAATTGAAATAAACTGGAAGTGAAATATCATACCACTTATTCAAAAAAAAGGTTGGACAGAAACAGTTGCTGTATGGAACGGAGTCCAGGTTTCCATAGAAAGTAACTGTGCTGGGGCCGACCCACCGAAAGAGAAATATGAGCATGGAAAAGAATAATTGCCTAAATCTGCTGCCACCAAATGATCAGCAATTAAAGGAAGTATCTTATTGTCAAATACAGAGCAGCTGTCCAACAGCTGAACCTGCTGCTGATCAAAGTGGATCAAAGAATTCTTAGGATTATATGTAACAGCCAATCTGCAGGGGGAAAAAAAAATGTAGTAGTCCATTGCTTATGGATTGCTTATCAGTCCATTGAAGTAAACAGGACTTTTTGTTGTTTTTAATGCAAATCTGATAAGCTCTGTAGAATATAAATCAGTTCATTAAAATTTGTAAAGCACTTAAATGAAGTAAAAGAGAAAACATTGTAACTTTTATAGGATGTTTACTGCACATAAAGTACAATAAAATCACCATCACTGAGAAAAAAAATACTGTCAAGATAAGCTATACTCAGTATCTTGTTCTGGGGAAGATTTAAAATTTTTAAATCATGATTATTTAAAAAAAATTAGTCTGACTATAGAAGTCTTACTGTACTACTGTGTAATTTTGTGTGTACAGTCTTCATACCACATCTAAAATGTGCAATATTTGTGTGTGTTTGTGCATAATGTACAACGTACATACTTGTGTATATATATATTAATCCAGGGATCAAAATAAATATTGAACAGCTCCTTCATTTGTAGGATGCTGCCTACACTGGGGGTATGGCAGGAAAAAAAAAAAAGAAGATAATAAACAAAGGCAGAGGCATGGCCTCTGATGCCTTCTGATGTGGTGCTTCACTGGACAGGCTTAACTCTGATACTGGGAGCATTGCCTGCTTTGATGTGTCTCCTACTACGATTGACACTGCAAATGCTGAGATAATATTCATTTCTCTGGGCCATTTGGGGAGTTTTATCCACTCGGTGGATATGAGTGCATGCTGCTATTACCTTATGCAGGCTTACATACCATTTACTGCGTCTGTGTTACCTCTGTAAGAGTGGTGCATAAGCTAGCAGTTGACACCTTTTAGTGAAGCTACTTTGGAGTCTTCATGCTCTGATTTCTGAAAAAAAAAAACTTTTTTTTTTTTTTCTCTCCTCCTTGCAGTTACTTCAATGAGAATCAATATCCAGACGAGGCAAAGAGAGAAGAAATTGCAAACGCCTGTAATGCGGTTATACAGAAGCCAGGTGAGGAGCTGATCACGGTGTCCTTTCCAAAGCCAGCTGCAATTAGATTTCAACATCTCCTGCTAAATTCAGCAAATCTCATTTTGGGGCTATTACTAACAAATGTGGTGCTCTCAACTAGTAGTAGGTTTCTTCTTGAGCGTTCTATAACTCAGGTTGTTCAGAGCTGCCATACTTGAATGAACAAGACAGTCAGTGCAATTTTCAAACCTGAATGGCCATGTCTGCAACTTAAATTCCCACCATTTGAGACAGGAAATACAAGCTGTGCGTCCGAACGTTCCATTTGTACAGCTTTGGAAATGGCATTGCTTTTCCCAAGTGACAAGCGATAGGAAAAGAGGAGACAGTCTCCAGTTGCACCACAGGACAAGTGACAAGCGATAGGAAAAGAGGAGACGGTCTCCAGTTGCACCACAGGAGGTTTAGGTTAGATATTGGGAAAAATTTCCTCCCTGAAAGGGTTGTCAAGCGCTGGAACAGGCTGCCCAGGGAAGTGGTGCAGTCACCATCCCTGGGGGTATTTAAAAGACGTGTAGATGTGGTGCTTGGGGACAGGGTTTAGTGGTGGACTGGGCAGTGTTGGGTTTGCAGTTGGACTTGATGATCTTAAAGGTCTTTTCCAACCTAAACAATTCTATGATTCCATGATTCAAACAAACTGCTTAAACACTGTGTCTCGGGATTGGTAAAATACTGTGAGTGGTACTGATGCAGACCATTGGGAGACAGCCTAGCTAGCTATTTCCAGATTTTTCTTTTTTTCACTTTTCCTCTCTCTCCTTGCTTATTTAAGGTTGCAGATTGCTGTAATTACATGAACTTTTTGTATGCTGAATGAATAAACTTACAGAAACAGTCTGAAGAGGGGAAACCTCATCCTCATGTACCCTGCAGAGGACCGAAGATGTAGCTACAGGGTTGAGGCCAGCGGGAGAGGTTTCCATGCTGTCCCTGCAGTGCTGATTCCCTCCAGTCATCCCTCTTTTATGCTGATGGTCAGGAGGAGGGATTGTCTCCAGCAGCTGACTGGTGCCTGTTGGGATTTTCTTTGCTGGTTTAAGTGTAAAACGCCAGTGATCTGGTTTCCAACATCCTCCCCTCTTCCTTCTCCCCAAAGATCACAAGTCTCCTGGCACAGTTGGGACAGTGTGATCAGTGCTGCGGGAGCCGGTGGTGGAGAGGAAGGAAAGTTGATTAGGGAGGGGATGCTAAACTTCTTCATTCATTTTGCCGCTGAAGAAAACTTGTCGTTGAACTACATCCTTGCAGCACATAGTAAGAGAACTAGCCCAAGGGTATGCGATTTGTGGCAGGGCTGTGAATTGAGTTGGAGGGGGGTTTTGAATCTCAGTTTTGTGCTTGAACTAGAAAAGCAGCCCTCTATTCTCCCACGGCGCTGGATTTAGTTGATTGAAGCTGCAAAAGAATTCCTGTAGTTCGGATTTAAAAAAAAAAAAAGAAGAAAGGCTACTTTGTTTTTAGAGAGATATTTGGCATTTATTACTGAAGCATCTGGGCACAGTACTCTGATTCACAGAAAATTCACTTTATTCTCAGTTATAATAACTTTTCAGTGCTGTCTGTATTTAGGGGTTTATCACATGTGTGAGGGGCTTTTGCCTGCCTCTGGAACCCACTGAGTCACAATGCTGTATTTTTTTTTTTTTCCCCTGTTACTTTCATAGGAAAAAAGTTATCGGATTTGGAGCGAGTTACCTCCCTTAAAGTGTACAATTGGTTTGCCAACAGAAGAAAGGAAATCAAGAGAAGAGCCAATATCGGTAATGTATCAGAGAGCCTGCTTTCAGGGTTTAGTACATACACTTGCTCGGGAGAGATCGAAATTACGTAAGATTTTATTAATTAAAATATGAGAGCTTCTGACATTCTTATTAGAAATGTGGAACAATTTTTAAAATTAGTCTCTTTGCTGTTCCAGATTTTTTTCTAAAATATGGGTAGGAATTTAATTTATGAAATTCTATCATCAGTGCAGGAAAAATGGTGCAGTTACGATGTTTTACTGGAAGATCAGTTTTTAAAAACCAAAGTAAGAATTTTGTTGGTGGAAGGAGAATCATATTTCCCTATGCTCAGGCTCCTTTGGGTATCCAAAATAAAATCTAAAATAAAACCTCAACATATCTACATTGGAAATAAGGGAAGTTGAGACGATTGCAAGTTCACAACCTTAGCATGCTGTTTAAATGAGAAGTGACTGTTGTGAAGAGCTTTTATCAGGTTGTAAGTTTCCTCATTTCTGTGTTCCACTGGAGTGTTTTCAGCCAAAACCTGGGGGCGTCTTTCTTACTGCCATCCCTGAGACCCCACAGGGATCTAAGAGTCCAGCTGAGCTGTTTTACGTCTCAGCTACAGCCACTAGGACCTGCAAGCCAATTCTCATTCCCCTTACACCTGTGCTCCTTATTGCTTTCCAAGGGCTTGCACAGTGACAAGCGGCTGGAACAAAGTAATATTTTTTCTTGATGATCAGGATAAAACAAAAGTCACTTCGGAGTTCACCCTGCGAGTTCTTTGTGTGAGTAGCTGATCATAAGGAAATTAGAAGTGACTCTGAGCTTGTAGATGTAGACCTTCTAATGTGAATAGACATAAGACATTCTAATGAGAATAAACTCACATTGATGGCCAGGATTCAGAATTTCCGCAATGTGTGCGAAATTTTATGCACTTACTGAGCTGCTGTGCAGAACAGACAAACAGAAATCTATACCTGCCCATTACCAGTATTTTTGCAGATGTCAAATGTTATGCCCTTTGCTGACTGCTTCTTTTTGCTGTATTTCTGGATAAGAAAAAATTATTTTTACATCATTTAACATGTTACTGAAATTTAACTTAAATTCATTTTTCTGAAAATTAAACCTGTCTGTTGAAAGGGTGGGGGGGACAAAGCAAAGTCAGTCCAAGGTGGCTGTATATGGCGGAGAGTTGGAAGGAGGTTAAAAAGAACCAAAGGGAGCTGTAGATGCATGGATCCTAGTGGAAGATGAAGATCTGTGTGTTTTTAAATCCCTTAAGTGCTTTAAAAATTTCTCCGTCTATTTTCAGACACTCCCTGCCCCCCTCAAGTCCTGCCAGTCCAAACTATGTGGGAAGATCTGCAGGGAATGCCTTTGCCACTCCAGTGCTTTAGAAATTAAGCTAATTTCTTGTAGGACTGGCTGGAAAACAAGGATTCTTACTCACAAACAAGTCTTCTAGTTTGCAGGGAAGGATTTCAGGCAAACCAGTATCTGTACATGTGCTACCCTCCCAAATACTGGAGAGTGAAGAGGAAGAGGCTAAGAACTCTGTTCTTCCAGTTAAACTTCTTGAAAAAACAAAAAAAAAAAAGTAGTTACTTTTAATTACTCTAATGCATCAGATAAATTAGGGATCCATTTGCTTTTTTCGAAGAAGCAGCAATCCTGGAGAGCCATGGAATAGATGTACAGAGTCCAGGAGGTCATTCCAACAGTGACGACGTTGATGGCAATGACTACTCGGAGCAGGTAAGCATCGTGGCTGAGCTGCGTGGCCCAAAAAGGGAGAGTTCACGCGATGCATGAAGAGTCCCTCTACCTCTCTCAAATAGGATGTGTCTTGTTTTTGTTTTCCTTTTATGTAATTATAATGGGGAAAGTGGAAGAGCACGGCTCCCCTTTTTGAATTGTGTTGAGCAGCCAGTATTCACCCACATGGATTTATTGTCATACAACAGGACACTTGGCAAGTACGCAATGGGGAGGAGGAGGGAAGATGTTCAGAGGGAGGCAGAGAAGCAGAGAAGGTAGAAGAAGACAGGAGGATCTGCTCCAAACAAGCAAGTTACACCATTCACGCCACACGCAATGTATGAAAAATGTTAGGAGAGTGCTAACTCCCCCAGTGCACCGTGCATAACTCGCACTCTCCTTACCCCAGCACTGTCCTAGTAATCCACCCTCCAGAAAGGACGTACAGGTCTTTAACTCCTATATATCACCCACCAACATGCTTCCCTACAAAACTAGGCATGTGTGTTGTTCTTGCACCTGTTATTTCTTTCTGCAAGAAACATCTCCGTTACAGCCTGTGCTACAGCTGCTGTGCATTGCTTATCTGGCACCAGGGGGGCACCCCAGTAAGCCCCTGCCCAGTACACTGTATAATCCCTTTTGTCAACCTTGCCCAGCAAGATGCTGAGCACCCTCCTACAAGGTGCTGAGCTCTCTCGGTTTGTGTTGCGTCTCAGGATCAGTCCCGAAGACACTGACAGACAAAGGGTGAAGGGTGGGGGGAAAGGATTTGACTAAATGGATTTTGACATTTATTTGGCCCTGTACCTGTTTCATATTGTTCTGCAACGATGTGCCACTATTTGGATTGTTTGCATATTATCTGTCTTTTTTCTTTTTTGTTCCTTTTTTTTTTTTTCATTTTAACTCTTGCCTATTCTCTATTTTTCTTGGTTATTTTTAACCCTTGACAGCAACTTCTTTTTTAAATTCTCTAGCAAAAGAATACCCCTTCCCGCACTCTGAGCCCTCACCTACCCTAAAGTTGGTGACCCTTCCTTCACACACCTTCCTGACAGGTATTGCATCCCCTTCCCAATTTTCCTTCAGGTTTCAGTTGGCCAAAAAAACCCGTCAGGGCTGTGTGTGCTTGGCACCAGTGGACTTGTTGAACGGTTCACTCACTTGGTTCTGGTTTTAATTTGAGCTGGCTTCTGTGCTACACCCCACATCTGGGGTGGGCAGATCGCTTTAATTGACTCGTTTGGGAGAAGTAGGTAGGTCTTCCTCTGTCAAGGCTGCTGGTGGAGAGTAATAGCAACTGAATGTCCTGGAATGAGTCCCTTGCAGACTTGGCTGTGGCCCAGTACGGCCGGTATCTGGCAGAGGCATTCCCAGCCACTCTGCTTCGATGGCCATTAAGTCCCTTTTTATAGGTCATCACCAGCAGATTTGGTGGAACCAACCTTGCTGGCTCTAGATGATGAGGGGCTGCTCTCTGGCTGTTAGAAATATTTTGGAACTGCTGCTGAGCACAGATAATTCCTGGTCGGTCAGATGCAGGAGCTCAATACTGAGATGTGGTGTTATGCAGACTCCTAAACTATGTTTTTCTTCTGTGTGTTATCCAAAATAATTTGAAAAGAGAAATAAATCGGTTATTAAAATGTAAAGATCTTTGTTTAAGGTCCTTTAAAATGGCATTTCTCAGTAATCTAGCTGGGCTCCTCTGCGAAGTGAAATCAGGCAGTAGCAGTGAAGCGGATTGAGTGGCGAGCTCTCCTGATGGCCATTTAACATCCCTTAGCTGTTCCAACCCTAAACTGGTTTCCACAGTGACGCTTAAACTCCAGTAAACTTTAAAACACAAAGTTCATCCAAATACTAATGAAGTGCCTTAAGCTCCAGAAGTCAGGACTTTGTATTTCTTTCCATGGTAAAGGTTACTGAGGGGCCCTGAGGGTGTGTGCACATCACGATACTTGCCTGACGTTTGTTGTCCGTGAATGCGTTCCTTTCAATAACTGTAGGATTTTACCAAATCCTCGCTTTTCCCTGCCCCTCAGCAGTTGCCACCTGTCATCTTAATTTAAAAATGCCTAATAATACATTTTAAATATTAAATTTCATAAGTTCAACACTTAAAGGCTGTTGGAAGACTGATAAATGTTTATCATTTCCTTTCTGTAAATAATAATAGTTTTTAAAAAATTGTGAGATTGTGGTGTAGTAACTCTGAATACCCCATTTTAAAGAGGAGGAAACACTATGATTTTACCCAAAGTTCCTGAAGAATTTGTTTGACAGCTGGGATTACAGTTTGAATATCGCTACTTCTCGTTCCTGTCATTGCAAACCTGCCCCTATTCCTGATGTAGCCTGAGAAACACGCCCAACTCACTATAAAATTTCTGCTAGAAATTGTCAGCCTTTTGGGTCTGATATCGTATGGCCATTATGCACCCGTAGAAGGTAGCCCTTCTTGTTTATTGATTTTAAAATTTTCAGTGCCATCCTGTAGCAGCCAAGTTTCTCTGTATTACTTTTGCTTTTAAAGAAATTTTTAAAGAATATATTGAATGATTTTATTATAGTAGCTTCCAGCTTCTGGAGGTCAGTAGTTTTCTGAGCCAGGCAGTGTATCCACTTGTAGTTTTGACTAATTTTCCCTGAACTTGTCTAACCCCTGCCTTTTAAAGCCATTTTTACTTTTATCTGATGTAAAAATCAGTGAATCCTACAGCTGAACTGTGATAAATGAAGCAGCGCTTCCCCTTGCTACTTCGGAATATATTATCATTCCAGGGAGTGCCCTTGTGGATTAGATCACGAGAAGCCACGAACAATTGTTTTCTATTTACTAGTTATTTGTAATAAACATTTACCATATCAGCCATCAGCCATTTCTTTTCCAAACTGAAAAACCAGAGTTTATTTAGCCTCTCCTCCTAAGGAAGCCACCCCGTGCCTCTCCTCCCCTGCTTCTCTCTATCTTTTCTAGTTCTCTTGTGTCCTCTGTAAATGGCATGCCCAGAACTGCGTGCAGTGTTCACAATGTAGGGCCAGCATGAATTTGCAGTGGATAGCGATTCCTGTCTTAGTTTGGTTTCCTGACATACGTTGTGTATTGCTTTTATCTTTATAATTTCGTGTTTTCCTCAGAATGTCCCCCTCCCTCAAATTTCTCTCTCGAAAATCGGGTGCTCCACTCCTCGCCCTGCTTACCTTTGTCTGCACAGTGAGGGAAATCAGCCCTAAATCAGTATTTTATAAATTCCCTTCACTTTCTACTCCTGGAACAAACGTGCAGTTTGCTGCCCCTAGTCCGTTACCTTACACACTAGTTTTTATCCGCCGGTTTTCTGCTTCTGGAGTAACGATGCTTCTCTCTTCTCCTTTCCGCATGCACAGGATGACAGCACTAGCCATAGTGACCATCAAGACCCCATTTCGTTAGCCGTGGAAATGGCAGCGGTAAACCACACCATCTTGGCATTGGCCCGGCAAGGAGCCAACGAGATCAAGACAGAGGCTCTAGACGACGACTGATACCAAGGAAGGGGAGGGTCAAAGCGAGAAGTAACTTAGTTTTAGACGTAGCACCTTAGCAGACTTTTCCTCGGTCCTTAATATGTGTTCTTACAGTATAACTTTGCAGTTTCTTGTACGTCAGTTAGCTGTTAGGGTCTTGTTCTGTGAAGATGGCATGGTGCCCTCAGCCTTTGCATATACTCTCTCAGTATTAATTCCCAATAAATAATCAACCAACCAACCTCCCTCTCCCAGCCCCAGTGGCTAGAAAAAATCTTGCTGCTCTGTCTTAGCATTCAAAGTGCTTCCAGGTATTTTAGACAGCCCTCAATTACAAGTCTTAGGCTACACTTTAAAATCTTGGATACCCTTAGAGATCGTGTTTAAAAAAAAAAAATAGTCTGTACGCTTTTCCTTTTCTGAGACTGAAAGGATGCAAGCTGAGGTAGTGGCACAGGGTCGATGGACACCAGATTGGGAGTATCAACAGAGAGTAAAAAGAACACTAGAAACCCCACTTCAGCATGGGAATAAATGATTTCCAGCTGCAATAAGCCGTGCCTCACTGGTCATACCGTGACTTGATATACTTTTGGGTGCTGTGCTGAGAATGTCCATTGGAAACACATTCACATATTTCGGTTGATGTTCACATATTCAACACAGACATCCTCTGCTCTCACAAGCTGCGTGTGGCTTAGTGGATAAGTACTGCCTTCTGCCTCTGGGACCATGATTGAAGCCCAGCCTGGGATCAGATGAAAAATGAGCTGAATGTCTAATGGACAGCAGTCCACTTCTCAAAACCACTACTCATTCTTTGGCATGGCTAGCAGTGCCTGCTCAGAAGAGGTCTAGACTCTATTGATCTGTCATTAACAATTCCACCTTTTATTCTTCCTCTCGCCTTTTCTGTCCCCACCCTACTCCCCTCTCCACCACTTTCAAAAGCAATGTTTTCCAGGAAAGTTATTAAGGTCAGAAAATGGGTGAGTGGATTTTTACACATCTGTGTAGCTAATGCCTACGTCCTGACTAGCCTGAAAGGTTATTGGAGAACTTTGGCATCTGAAAACCATCACAGCGTAAATATTCTCCTAAGTATGAACTTGTTTTGTTTGTTTAAAGGCAGGAGGATCTCTTACCTGAGAAATGGGGTGTGAATGTTTTGTGTTCTCTTTACTCTGTCCTTGTTAAGATGTGAGAAAGCTATACTGCTACGAGCAATTTAATTAACAATTGGAAGCCATACTGATAATGGATGTGGTAATATTTGTAAAGCAAACCTACTTTAAGTAGCAGAAACTAATGGAATTGTTTTCCTTGATCATATGTAGCACTTTTGTTACTTTTTTCTTAAAGATATTTATATTTGATAAGTCTTTTTTTTATCATTTGAGAATTCAAAATACCAAACAGCAAACTTGCATTACAGAGTCACCCTGCGATCACCTTGTCATCTAGTATCTAAATGATGAACTGTGTGTGCATCTAAGAAAATTACATCTGCTGGCATTGTGTGGAAATGATCTCCTGGCATCCTGATAAAATGATATGTTGCTGCCGGTAAGAGGAACCATTTCAATGGAAACAGCACGGGAAGCGTTAGAGACGGGCAGGACTGTGTTACATTAAAAAAATAAAAATTAAAAACCTATGTAAATTTTTGTATCTAAATATATAAAAATTTGCATGGTTTTTCCACAACATTCCATTTTTACCTTCCCAGTTTCTGTGGGAATAGCTTAAAAAAGGGGAAAACAGCTTAGTCTGAAGGATGAGTTTCCCTTTTCTCCACTCCTAAAGGTGGAGGGAATGAAGAGGTGTTGCCCTGACTTGGCTTGTTCTCATCCCTTCCTCACTGTTTACTATCAGATAGCATGGCGAACTCCTAAAATGTGGCTCCTCAGCAGGATTTTAGCCAGCCTAAACCCCTTCAAGGCATAGGCTAACTAGATCAGCTTTACATCTGTTAATCTTGTGAAAATCGCTTCGGTAAGTGTGGAGGAGATTTTGTGCTTTCAGAGGGCACAGAGTTGGCACCTCTTTGTCTCGGCAACTTGGAAGATTTATAGGTAGGGCTTGGCCTCGTCTTTCATTTATGGATTTCATTGGAAAATTTATGTGCTTTCTTTAGATATAGATCACTGAAGCAGAATGAAGCCGTCTTTTTTTTCTGTTTTATTGCATTTCTTGAGTAGGCAAATTCATAAGTAGCATCAGGGCAGACTCAGGAAAGAAAGGAATGGGATCAGTGACCATTGCAGATTTTTCCTTAATGTGTGTATGAATGTTGTGATACTAAGGAGAGAAAGGATGGGGAGAGCTTTTCTTTCTATTTTTGCACAGCAGAATGATCGAGCAAACTATAGCCTGAGTGGAATTTTACCTACTTATTCATACTACGGTCACACACCAAGCTGACAAGCAACATCCAGGATTTATAGTAAGGAGATTTTAATAATCGATGGCCTCTTTACGTTGGGATTGCCACCACCATTTGTTCTGGCTGTTTCATTTTAAAAAGAACAGACTCAAATTGTTGGACAGCTGCAATTTTAAAAGAAATATTGCTTACTATACCATCTTAAAAAAAAAAAAAGTCATTGTTTGAAGCATCACCTTTTTAAAGCAATAGGGAAGAATAAAAATAGTCCTAGAACTTCTGTATCCTGATTATAGGTTCGTGAGATACTGGATCAAAGTAACACCACTGAAGTTGTATGTCTATACCAGCGAATGCAGAATGATCTGGTCTTAATTCTGTTTGTCACTGTCAGGTAGCTGCTGGTCTCGTCGTGCATCGGTATCTTATCCTAAGGTTAAACAGTTAAACCCCTTGCGAACAGCTGGAGACTGGCAGATCCTCCTTGTCTGTAGCTTCCTGGTAAACACCATCTTCCTGGTAAACACCATCGTATCACCAGAGAAAATTAACAGATGAGTTAACTGGCACATCAGACTTAGTTCCATGGTGTCAGTTTTCGGTTTGCCCCTGTCTGTTTTGGCTTTTCTTTGACCATCGAGAGGTATGAGGAGAGAGTCAGACTCCAGCTGTTATCAGGATGCTCATGGCAGTCTGTTCCATTTATTGTGAAAGTTCATAATGAACGATTTGCAGTTGGTTAATGACTTTCTGGTTTGGCATGAGTTAGCTAAAGCGGAACAGGTACTGGTGTGATGATACCGGGAGACGCGTACGTGATCCGGAGTTAAGCGAAAGAATGGGTGGAGAGCGTGTCCTGGAATTTAGCCTTTGTTCTAGGGTTTTTTCGGCAACATGGGAGTCGTCTTTGTCTTTCTGTCTCTGGATTTTCTTGAAAATTCTGCCTCATTTTTGTAGCATTGCAATTCAGTTGCAATTTGTTGTAGCCAGTCTGGAATTACTGCAGTTTGTTCTCATGTGGGTTCCCTTGAAGTGGATCTGGCGGCAGACTAGATCTACCTTTTTGTTCTGTGAATAGAGAAGAAATTATTTAAGATGCTCCTCTTCTGTGATGAGCACAGACTGCTTTTGACTTTGTGGAGTGAGCTCTGGCTTTTATTTTGTCACTCGTAAAGTCCTTATACTTGAGTTGTTCTCTTACCATCTTAAAACAACAATTTCTACCTCCACTTCTTTTTTGAGGTTTGGTTGGGTTTTTTTTAATTCCCCCGCTGTTTTCTGAAGTATGAGATCACAGATGTTTGCAAAAGCGTTTTGAGATGATAAAAATAAGTTGATGTGGAAATGAGTAGACATGTTATTTTTTGATGCTCTAGCATTATAGAGACATCTTCTAAATACTTTTAAGTATGTTCTTACAGTGTAATCCCATTACTAATATGTTGGATATGAACAAGTCGGTTGTGAGTCAGCAGCACACCCTTGCAGCAATTAAGGAATCTCATTAGGAAGAGCCCTCAGCAGGTCAAGGAGAGTGATTTGTGCCCGCTGTTCATCACTTGCGGGATCACACCTGGAGTACTGTGTGCGGTATTGGGCAGGAGTGAGTCCGGCGTAGGGCTGCTGATCCAAGAAGGTTGGATCACATGTCAGAGTTTGCGAGAGCTGGGTTTGCTCAGGCTGGCTCTGGGGGCGTCCTAGATTTTGTTCTTCCGCTGTCTTAATGGATGAGTCTAGAGAAGACGGAGCCAGACTCTTCTCGGTGGTGCATAGCAAAAAGGGGAGGGGCAGCGGGCTGAAGTTGCATTAAAGAAAATGCCAGATGAATAGAAGGAAGCAATATTTTCCTACTCAGACTGGTAGAACAATGGCCCAGAAAGGCAGTGGAAACCCCGTCCTTGGGGATATTCAGAACTCAGCTGGACAAGGTTGGGTTAGAGACCTCCAGAAGTCTCTTCTAAATTATTCTGTGATTCTGTACAGACCCGCTCAGGTTGAGGTGTTTCGTAGTTCTGATCTATACATGTTGGCTTGTTTAAAGAAATTTGGGTTTTGGGGCTTTTTTTCTGTTTTGCTCTTCATAAAAAGTTTATATTTCCTATTCGACTAAAAGAGGGGAGCTTTATTTGCAGGGTCTGGCTCCAGGCTCCAATCAAGCCATAAATAATAAATTTCATTAATTATTTGCTCTGTTTACACAGTTCTTCAGGGATATTTGAATTATTCTGTTTGTTTCATTGCCTAACATCAGACTGGTAAGTTTTTCCGTGTTTTTGTAACATTTGTGCTGTAGATCAGGTTTTGCCTTCGTTTGTGAGGATTTATCGTTGTCTTGCTGCTGTGAGTGCAGGCAAAAAAATTCACGTAGCTGAACGTACTAGAGGAAAAATTGTAGTTAACTTAAACCTACTGCTGACTACTATGATAAGCTAGAAATTTTTGGTTCAGTAAATCATGAATTGGTGATTTTCAGAAGCTGAAGGGGTATGGCTGGGGAAGAGGCATATTATACTCAGTTGGATCTTCCTCTTCTTTCCTTAAGTGTTTGATTTCTGCCTTCAAGGTGCATGGAGCTGAATTCACCGAGATTTTGAGTTCCCTATGTGGTATAAAAGTTTTCCTTCACTATGAAATGCTGCTTGCAAAGAAATAAAATCAAGGCATCATGCTGGCCTTCCCCGAGAGGAGCTGAGTCACCGAGGTGTGGTAGTTGTAGCTGGGTTGCATCAAGAAACAGTTTTTATTTTTCATGTAGATAAAACCAGAAAAATTGCTATCAGAGTTTTCAAAACACAAAGCTGCTGCCCCTAAAGCACTTAGTGCAGGATGTTGTTTCCCTGTGTGCAATCTTAACTCGAGTGCAAAGCTGCCTTCACACCTTTCTC